CGAGATCGAGGTAACATAAATATTATTCAACAGTTTTTATTAGAGTAACATAAGTTAGATTTCATTTTTGCTTTTTTAGCAACTAAGTTCACTAATTCACTCAACGAGTATTTATTAAACAACACTTCAGCATGTGCCAGGTGCTGTTGTTGGTACAGAGAATACAATGGGGATCATTGCCCTTCACTCTTGAATCTTAGAATCTTTCAGGGGACACAAAAAATTGAGGAAAGAATTATAAATAAGGCCCAGTCATGAAAAGGAAATGGATGATACTATACGCTCATGAAAGATAGAAAATTGTATCCACCAGTGCTCTGGCCATATAACAATCTACCAATAACAGTGTAGTTTGTGGTTAAGAAAATTTATTCTGGAGTTAAACTGCCTAACTTCAAATTCCAACTTTACCATTTACTAGCCATGTGACCTCAGGAGGCATATTTATGCTCAGTATTCCTCAGTTTCTTCATCCTTTTAATGGGATAACAATAGAACCTACTTCACAATGCCACTGTGAGCTAATATACGTGAACTTCCTAGAAAAATACCTGGTGCATAGCATTTATTAGTTGGTTTTAACATTAGGAAAACATTTCTCATATCCCAGAAGCCTCAAAGATATTTTGGGCACGTTTTCTTCTAATCCCATAAGAAAGAGATTATTCTAGTAAATATTCAGTATGTATCTGCTAGTATTATTACCTAGTTAAGTAAACAGGAAGATGAACTAACTAGAATATTTGAAGTGAGTTTTTACTGACTATCCAGTTTGCAAGACTAAACTAACAGAAAGAAGTAGACTTCTAATTAGCAATCATAACAAAAAATATCAATAGCAAAGTGATGATGTTGGTAATGATGACTGCTAACATTCTTGAATATTACTTCACTAAACACTGTACATGCTATTAGTTCATGAATTCACCCAATGACTCCATAATGTAGACATTTCTCATTTTACAGAAGAGGAAAATGAAGTTCAGGAAGCACCCAGCAGAGTGCTTGGCCCAGTAGATTTCTAATACACATTTGTTTGAACAAAAAAATGAATGAGTGACCTCAAGTGTAGACATAACCTCGGCCATATAGATTTTGTCTTTAGTTATTAACCCAATTTGTGTTCCTATTTCTAATCAATAACTGCTATTTAAAGCAGTTTGAAGAACTTTTACAAATAGTTACCTAGCTTCTGAAATTAGTTACCCAGATTCCTGGTCCCCACACTCCAAATTTCTATTTTACTGGTGTTTCCAGAGACGGAAGAGAGAAGGGGAGACTTGCAAATTGGTAGTATTTAGAATTTACCCAAGTAATTTTGATGTAAGGAGCCCTGGTGGCACAATGGTTAAGTGCTCGGTAATCGAAAGGTCGACAGCTCAAGCCCACCAGCAGCTCCGTAGGAGAAAAGACCTGGCGACCTGCTCCCATAAAGATTACAGCCTAGGAAACCCTATGAGGCAGTTCTATTCTGTCCTATAGGGTCACTATGAGTCAGAATTGACGCAACGGCACGCAATAACAACAATTTTGATGTGCAAACTGTTTGAGGAACAAGGACCTAAGCATTATTATAAATTGCCTGATAGAAAAAATAACATTATATTAATAAAGCTGCACAATATAGAATGAACTATTTTTCTTCAGCTAATAAAATGCACAAAACAAGTAATACAAGTAATATTTTCAAACTATGATTTAAATTAACAATGACAAACGTAATTGCATAAGAATATTTTATAATTACTGAATAAGTAGAAACAAATTTTCTATACAGATTTCTCACCTTGCTGTTTTCTATTATAAGCTGCAGATCTAGAACTTGAGTAACTGTCATTCTGGGTTAATTTTAATTTAAAAATAGCATTTGCATAGTATTATTACGTATATTCAGATCCTAGGAGGCTAACAAAGCAGCATTAATTGTGATGGAGAAAAATATGCTTGTGCTTAGATGTAATTCATTTAAATGCTTTTAACCCTTTCTTTTCTGACATAGGGTCTCTTATTTCATGTGAACTCTCCCTCTGGACAAAACAAGAAGATGAATTCCTTCCCTGATGAAGTCCTTCTGCATGAACATTTTCCCTGGGAACATAGCCATCACCATTTTAGCTACAGTTGGGTCACCCCCAGGGGCCAAGTATCCAACAGGCAAGGTAAGCACGGTGCTTACATCTGTAGTGAACAATTTCACATTTTTTCATTGCATCGAAGATTCTGCTTCTAGGTATGGCTGGCATGTGTCTCTCTCCCAACCCCATAGCACCTTCCTATAGAATCAAAGCCTCTTTCCAAATTTACAATCCCCGACAGGCATGGATGACCCAGCAATTACTAATCTGTAGTGAACAGCTTCACGTTTTTCTCCACGTTGATGTGCTGAAAACATGTGAAGTTGCTCACCACAGATTAGTAATTAAGCACAAGTAAGCCTGTGCTTACCTTGCTTACATGTCAAGATGTTTTGATGAATTGAACAATGGAGAAAGACCTTGACTGAGTGGGTTAAAAACACAGACTGAATATGTGGGAGAAAGAAAATATTATGAATTCTAAAACCAAACTTCTATAATCACAGACTCTCATTTTGGAAGGCATCTTAGAAGTTACCTTTCTCTAATATGCCTTATCTAATATATAATAATATTAGATCCCTCTGTAATATCACTGGAAACCCTGGTGGCATAGTGGTTAAGTGCTATGGCTGCTAACCAAAAGGTCAGCAGTTCGAATCCACCAGGTGCTCTCTGGGGCAGTTCTACCCTGTCCTATAGGGTTGCTATGAGTTGGAATCGACGGCAATGGGTTTTTAACGGGTAATATCACTGGCACTCAGCACTTGCCTGAAATGTCTCACCACCTTTCTTAAGGTAGCCTATGCTATTTCTGAAAGATTGTAATTGGTAGAGGAAAAAATTTTTTAAAAAATTCCAAATGTTGACACAAAATCTATCTACCAACAATTTCCACTCCAAGTTCTTCCCTTAGGAGTGAAATTCCCGTTCCATTTCTGAATCATAACAGCTAACATCTACTGAGGCTTGAAACTCCAGGGCAGAACATCTGTGGCAAGGTTAAGCATCCTTATTTGGGGAGGACAGAGTTTAATTGCTAAGCCTTCTCAACTGATTACTAGGACCTTGTATTTAGTGCCCAACAGTAAATGTCATTTTATAACTTTTACTCTTTCTCAACTAGGAAAAGAAACGTCAGATGTTCAGGGAAAGTTGATAGCAGTAGGAGAGAAAGCTGAAAAAAAGGTTTTTGGAGGGTATTCCTGTCTTGTTATGGGACAGACATGTGAACAGCAATACACAGTAACAGCTACACAATATTTATTATAGGAAAACCTGGGGCCCTGAAGAGAAGGGTCCAATTAGCCAATATCAATGGGCTAACTGATAATTAAAATAGCCCTGTTTAACCTTTTATTTTAATTAACTAACACATCTGTACATTTAAATAAAGAAAGTGGAAAGAAACCTTGGAAGAAAATTTATAACAGCAAAATCTACAGTTCCAAAATAACCTGAGGTGCTGGATACAATGATTCTGCTAGTTTTTAGAAGTAAAATTACTTCATTATCATTTTAATCACTTTCCACATATTTGATTCTTAAAATTAGAAAGTTTAACTGGGAGAAAAAAAGTTATCAGCAAGAAGAAAGCAACTTAGGATTTAAGCATACCATGCTTTTGACACTCTGAACTTTTAATAAAAATCTCACCTTCTGCTTACGGTACTTCTATTTTTTTTATTTTTATTTTTTGGAGTTCCTCTACCTCCTTGACCTACAACCTATTATATTCCATACAATCCTTAAAATTTGGTTTTGAATTGTGATATTTACTTGGGTAAAGATAATATGCTTTTGCAAAACTATAAAAGTTTGACAACATATTCTGTTGGTAAGGGAAGCAGGCACTCCCATGCATTGTTGCTAGGAGGGGGAAATGGTACAATTTTGTACAGGGCACTCTGGCAATATTTCTCATAGCCACACACATAAGAAATGGCTTATTTACAAGGTTATTTGCAGCGGCATTATCTGTAATAGCATGATTGGAAACAACCCAAATGTCAAGGAGGAATTGCTTAAATAAACTATCATACGTCCACATATGGAATACAATGTAGCTATCAAAATAGAATGGGAAATCTCTCTGCAGGATGTATTAGAAAGGGAAGCAAGCATAGTTTAGAAATGATCATTTAGCATGCTACATTTTACTTAAGAAAGAGATAAAACTAAGAACCTGTATTTGTACTTCTTTTTATTTACATAAAAATCATGGGAAGAATACGCACATGCTTAT